AGGTGTGAGAAGCTCCTTCCTGCACATACCAACCCCTCCCAGCCCTCCAGAGCCTGCCTACTTGTGCTTTTGGGACTGTTGACACAGCTACACCTGCAGAGTGACAGCCCTGCACTCAGCTCTGCTGCTGCAGATGAGCAGGGATTTGCTGTCTGGACATGCCACACTCTCCTGATGGTAAGGCCTGTCCAGCCTTTCCATCTGGGATTTTTGCAAAGACAAAACCTGTCTGGCAGGTGCCCCACAGAGCAGCCCTGCTGTTCTATTTCCAGTACAACGGTGCTCTGTTTCTCCAGGAGAGGGAGTTTGTGCTTCATCCTCTTCTCCAAGGGCTTTGCACAGCTTTAAACATAAAGAAAAAATTTCGGTAGCTGTTTTCTTATTCCTCAGAGAAACCCTTCCTTTCCCTGGCCCCTTACTATGCTCAAAGCAATGGCCACGTGTGTGAATTCTATCAGGAGTCAAAGAGAAAATGGAGTTGTGTTGAAAAGCAGCACCTATGGTATTAACAGAATCCCACAATCCTTGAGGTTGGAAAAGCCCTCCCAGCCCATCCAGTTCACCCTGTGCCCACCTTGTCCCCCAGCCCAGAGCATTGAGTGCCACGGCCAGTCCTTCCTTGGACACCTCCAGGGGTGGGGACTCCACCACCTCCCTGGACAGCCCCTTCCAATGCCTGACCACCCTTTCCAGGAAGAAATTCCTCCTGATGTCCAACCTGACCCTCCCCTGGCACAGCTGGAGGCCATTTTCCTTGTTCCCCGAGAGCAGAGCCCGACCCCCCCCCCCCCCCCCCCCCCAGCTCCCCCCTCCTGTCAGGGACTTGCAGAGAGTGAGAAGGTCCCCCCTGAGCCTCCTTTTCTCCAGGTTATGCCCCCCCAGCAGCATCTCATCAGAATTGTGCTCCAGACCTTTCCCCAGCTTTGTTCCCTTCTCTGGCCATGCTCCAGCCCCTCAATGTCCTTTTCATCACAAGGAGCCCAGAACTGGACACAGCACTGGAGGTGCCCTAGCAGTGCCAGCACAGGGGAGCCCTCTGTAATACAGGCCTGAACCCTTCATTTGTACTCACCTGGCCACCAAAGGAGACGCAGGGCTGGGATGAAGACCAGGGGAAGCCATGCCAGAATATTAGTGGGAATACAGCCTATTCAATTCAAAGTGCTCCTGACAGGACACCAGCACATCTGCATTCACCCTGCTTGGGTCCAGGCAGGTTTGAGCTCATCCAAACCTCAAAGCTGGTCTTGGAGCTCCCCAGACAAACAATAACCATAACAGAGCACAGTGTGCTCTTTTGGATGTTATCTGATGCTTGGTGAAGGTCTGAGAAGCACCTCAGCCAGGCCAGTGGGCACAAAGGTGTTGAGGAACTGGTGTGAGGTGCCAGTCTGGGCCACTGAGCAAAGACAGTGGCCAGTGGCTCCAAGTCTTCTGGAAGGCTGGTCCAAACACTGGCTCCTCAGCCTTGGCACCGAGTATGGAAACAGAGGGAGAGGCTGTGTGGACTGTGGTGCCCACAGGAAGAATCCCAGCTCCGGGGCTGGAGAAAACCATCATATGTCACTCAAGCAAGGAAGGTTGGGATTGTCCAAGGGCTCTCAGGAGCAGTAACAGTGGCACTGTGCAGACATGGATCCTGTTGAAGACAACAGGGGCATCTGGGACGTGGTGGGAGGTTTTCTGTACCATTTCAGCAGTGACACTGTGACAATGGGACCCTCAGCAATGGAGTGAAGGAAAGATGGGCAAGAGAAGAGTCCAGAGGAAAAATGGAACATGAGTTCAACAAGAAGCAGCGGAGAGGAACTGAAATGCCTGCAAATATGTTCCCTCCTGTATGTCAGTCACAGGGGAACAGAGTTGAGAGGGATCCTCTCCCTCCTGCAGAGCACAGGAACACCCTGTGCAGGGATGGGCAGGTGGACTCACATGCAGCCACCAGCTTCTGTCAGCTCCTTCAGCTGTGACAGCTTCCTCAGGGCAAATCCCAGGATGCAAAGGCAGGTGGCAGTGCCAAAGGAACAGAGTCCCAGAGCAGCCCCAATCCATGGAACTGTAAGATGAGGATCTGGGTTCTCCAGTGGCTGCCCAGCAGGGAAGGACCCTCCCTGGTGTGTGCTCAGACTTTGTCTTCTGCCTTCACCAAATGAGCGATCTTGGATTCTGACTGAAGAGTGAGGATAGCAGGTGATCCAAAATTCTCCAAAGTATTGTGTTGGCAACGAGAAGTTCCAGAAAAGGGCTTGGTGTGGTGCAAACATGGAATTTAGGCAAACTGACAGACTGCAGCCACGTGAACCTTTCCCACTGTGTATCTCTATACAGTAAGACTTTCTTCAGCACCATGACCTGCCTTCCTTTCTCTTGACACAACTGTCACCCTCCAAGTGATGAGACACTGCAAGGGCTGATGCCAGGCGATCCACCCATTCCCAAGTACTCCTGATCCTGAGCTGTGGCATGACCAGTGATCCCTGCAGGATGCTCTGGCTTTCCCCTCTCTGAGCTGGGCACTCCTGGGACCATCCTATCCATCCAGGTGGAGCAGAACAGGCACTCGTGGCTGGGCCCTCTACCCTGACACTCTTCTTTCCCAGTGGGGCTCCTGGGCTCCACTTGACAGGGCAGACTCCAAGCCCTCCATAGCTTCCAGGCAGGAGAGACACTTATCCCAGCACCAGGCAGTAGGAATTACCTGGGGTTCTGAGATATCAGAGCTCTGCAGACCTTGGCTGCTCTTGCAAAACTGAATCAGCCTGCAAGGCTGGGAGTATTGGCTGCCCTTTTCCTGGGGCATGGGCACAGCCACCCACCCTCCTCACAGGTCCTGAGAAACTCCAGAACCTCCGAGTGCCCACCTGAGAGGCACCCACATCACGCAGAGGGCCCAGCAGTCTTCCAGAGAGAGAGAATATATCCAGGGCTCCCTACACTTCTTTTATTTAGCACAACCAGATTCGAAGGCTGCTTCCCTCTTCCACCTGGAGGACAGACCCTGAAGGCAGGTATTCCACAGCTCTTAGTGAACCTTCCCATTCATGTCTGACCTCACAAAATGAAAATAACAAGGTCACAGTTGCATCTTAGTTTTATTACAACCGACCTGCAGGCAAAAGGATAGAATTAGTACACACTCTGATCCATGTATAATAGCTTAAATAGAGGAGGAAGTCAAACCAGGATACCAGATAAAATATTGGGAAGCTCTTTGAAGCAGTTATGTTCCTGAGCTTCATTTTACAGACAATAAGGCAACGTCCCTGCACATCAGCTCTTTGATATTTTTTTATACATTTCTATGGTACAAGAAAAAATAACCAGAATTCACAATGTACAGTTCTTACACTATTTTCACAGCTTCTGAACACTATACACCTTTTTTCTTTTTTTTTTTTTTTTTTTTAACAAAGATACATTGCAATCAATTGTGCACCCTTAATAATTGGTATTAATCTATGTTGAATAGGCTAAACCTGTCCTGTATGGTCACCCAGGCCACAGCACCTCAGCCCTGACTGTCACTGGCAGATCAGAGCTTTTCCTTTCCATTCCCAGCAAACTGGTCCTGCTGCTTGAGACGGGTCAGCACCAGAGCATGGGCCCAGCCCTCCCAAAAGGGGCAGGCAAGAGCAAGGCAGGTGCTTGTGTTCTGGGTGTGCTGGCCTTCTGAAAGGTTTCTGGGCTCCCTGTCACTGGGGAGATGCACAGTGGAGGCAGACAGAGCCTGTGCACGTGTGGCTGCCCTTGCCCCATGGGACACAGAGGGTCCATGGTCCCATTAGAGGGTGCTGAAGGCTGGAAAGAGGAATCACAGCTCCATGGGGAGTTACCTGAGAAAGGCTCTGGGTTGAGGGCAGAATCACTTCACGCACTCCATGTACGGGTTCAACTGATCCTTCCGTGGGATGCACCAGAGCTGCCAGGAATGACCAGTTACTCCAGAAAGCTCTGCCTTGTCTGTTTTGGGAAGACTTTGGTGACTGCCTCGCCTGAGGAGCAGCCCAAGAGGAACAGAGTCCAGGAAGGTCAGGACTAAGGGATCCCCAGGGCTCACACCGGCCTCGGTGCCAGTGGGAGACGTGCGGTGCTGCGAGATGTCACCTCCGTGGTGCAGGAACACCAGCTGTCCCAGGAGCATGGCCTGGCTCTCCTTTCCCAGCTGGGATGGGCTGGTCTTCGGTGCTCCCGCACCAGCCTGGTTTGCACTCGGTAGCTTTGGTTTGAAGCCCTTCCTTGGGGTCCTGCCAGCACCACAGTGCCCTCACTCCCATGGCAGCCTGGGTCCAGGTTGGCTGCAGAGCTCTCACAAGAGGTTGCTCCAACACTGGTGAAGTCCTACCAAGTGCCTAAACCAGCCCAAAATGGAAAGCAGAGACCCTTGTAGCTTCCATTTTATCCCTGGTGTGCTACTCAACCTGAAAACTGCAATGTTTGGAGAAGTTTTCAGGAAAGATTAATCTTTGAAAAATACGTCAATTAAAACCAACAGAATAAAGCCTGATGTGCTGCTTCACTTAGGAATGGGCCAGAAGATGACAGCTTGCCCGGCCTTGCTGGGCCAGTTAAGAATCCTCAAGGCATTAGACACTCCCTCATCTCCTTCTGCACCCACCAGTCTCAGGGAGGTTCATTCCAGGGTGCAGCAACAGGAGTTATGGAGGGTCACAAAAGAGGTTCAGTATCCAGAAGGTGGTGAACAGTCTCCAGCAAGGTCAGCAGAGTGTGATGGGCACAGAGCCCGCGGCAGCCCAGGACACCCGTCCATCCTGCCGGCAGTGGCGAGACAGAAGAGCTGAGGTTTGGACTCAGGAGGGACACTGGGCTGGGAGGGCTGGGCCAGTGAAAAGGCAAGAGCACCAGGGCTGGGGACAGAAGGAACACGACAGTGGCCAGAACTCACAGCACACTAAAGCAGCTGCAGCCTCTGTGGACAGCACTGGGCAAAGGCAAAGCAAAGCCAGAGGGTGGTGAGCACTATAAACCAGGTCACAAGCAGGTTAAATTCAATCAAGTAGTTTAATAATTCTTCAGGTCAAAGGTCTTATCTTACCAGGTAACAATTTACAGGACATCTAGTTAAGAGTGAAGAGTGGCTGGCTTGGTAAAAGGAGGAAGAATACATTATGTCCCATCTCAATAGTTTAATGTTAGCCTCTTTCAATGCAACATATTTTTGGTAAAGACATATTCACTATATTTAACATGATCTCTCTTTAACAGGAAGTTCAGCTGAGCACACTGTCCCCAGAAAGTACACTGCGACTGTAAAGCAACAGAATTTCATAGCAGTAAATCTATTGCACTTTGTGAAGAATAAAATTCTCCTTTGCCTTCCCAGCTCCAGAAGGCAAAGCATCTCGTTGGTTAAGCAAGTTCTTCTCCCGCCAGGCAAAGTCTCTTAATGTTCAGACAGACAACGCCTAACTTTTGTTTGTTTGCTTTTTATTATTACTTGAAACAACAATTGGAAGAGTTTGAGAGAAAAATCTTTCCAGTAGCTGCTGAGAAGTTCTCCAAGTTTTGAGTCTAGAAATTAATTTTAGGTGCTATCCAATCACGGTCAACAAATAAATGTACTTATTTCCACATTTCATGAATATGTCCACAAAAGAGCAAGATGAGGTCTCTCTGTGACCAACACTAACACTGTGTGATCAGGTATTACAGGGATGCACTTTATATGTGACAACAGTATACAGACAGGATGGAAATAACACCAATATTATTGCACATGGTGTCTGGGCGAGCATTAAAAACACTGCAATATGTGATGAAAATTCTTTACAGCTTGTTTCCCTCAGCCCTTTTTCTAGAGTTTGATGTAGCAGCAATATCAATCCACGTACATTGGAGAGCTGGGAGTTGCTGGCATTTGATCCAGGATTTTACAAACGTAGCATGCAACATCCACTGTGCGTTCCTCATACATCAGGATGAAGGGATGTTTCTGAAATCAGATAAAAAACAAGGTTACAAGTCACCCTCCTGCCACATGCTGGCTCCCCAGATAAAAGCTGAGCAGGTGATTTTGCCTGGTGCAAGAACACAGGGCTTAGTGGTGGCCACAGGACACAGCTTGGTCTGTGGCTTTTCCACAGTGGGAATCTGTCTTTAATGTGGGAGGTTAATGGAGGTAGGACAGGACTCTAGAGTGTCAGGAGCTGATAGGAGAGACAGGGAGTGGCTTGTGGAAGTCAAACCCAAGCCCTGCTCTCCTGAACCCTGACTCTCAGCTCTGCCCAGGAGGCCGCACTGGCCAGACCCAGCTCAGAGCAGCTGGTTTGTAATGTCAGGGTGGCCCTGGGCCGGGACACCAAGCAAACCCCTTTCACAGCCCTGCAGGGACCCTGATCTGATGCCACAGGGCACCTTCCCCTGCTGATCTCTCGCCTTGCTGGACAGACACCCATGGTAGTGGCATGGAGGTGGTGCTCCTCCTCCAGCCCTGGAGCTGAACACCCTGCCAGGATGGCCTGAGGAGGGGACGTGTGTCCCAGCCCCGCTGTGTGACTGCAGAACCACCCCAGCTCAGATACACTGTGTACTCACCAGAAGCTCTTTGTACTTTGGCCTTTTGGACTCGTCCTTTGTAAGGCTAAAGAAAGCAGAAAGAGAATTAGGAGAAGGTGGGATGGGGGAAAATGTTACAGACATCAAATACAGATTTTTACAGGACATGATGCTGAGCCCACTGCTGTCCAGGGGGACTCACTGCCTGTGGTTTCCTGGAAAATCCATCCTTGCACTGTGAGTGACCACAGGAGCTGCCTCCCTCCCTCACAGCCATCCCAGCTGTGTGGGCAGGGGCCAGCGAGTGGCACCAAAGGCCACCAAAGCCCTGTCCCAGGGGACATGGTGGAGAGAGGGGATGGACTGGGCGACACTGACACCACAGCCCCTGCCCCAGGAGCCAGAGCTGCACCACTGAGAAGAGAATGGGTGGATATGGCACCTTTCCCAAACAAAGGGAGTCACTCGAATTCCCAACAGCTGCATTTCCATCCCCAGGAGCTCTGGCTGGGCCTTTCTCCATCTCCAGCACCACCACAGTGTGGCCTCCACCCCATGGAGCAGCTGAGGGTCACCAGCACTGCCCTGCCAACAGAGCCTGTGGGGCAGAGGGGGCACAAACCCGGTGACTGGTCCCACACAGCCCTCTCCAGGCTTCTGCCACCCCAGAGCAATTCCCTGCCTGACCCCATCAAGGCTCTCTGGGGGCTCCAATCTGCTCCTGCAACACCTGTAAGGCAACAAAGCAAAACTTGAGCTCACAGACTGAGCTTTGCTCTGAAATGTCCACACCCCCTTTCCTAAAGCACTCTGAGAAATCCCTCATTCCTTTCCCAGCTCAATGTGAAGCTGCTTGCCTGGGGTGGCCACTGGCAGCACCAGGAGCCACACACTACTGCACAGGAACTCTAGTTCCAAGGATCCTGATCCTCAGGAGCTCAGGGCTCCATAGCTGCTGAAGCCAAGCACAGACTGGAGACTTCAGAGCAGAAAATTGAACTGCTGTAGGAAGCAGTTCCAGGAGTGGGACTCCAGATAAGCCTCTAATTCAGGAAGTTGGGTTGAAGGGGAAAAATGTTCCACCTAGGCATTCACAGTGCTGAAAGAAATATCAGGAACTCTTTAACACTGAAATGTTCAATAAATGTTTCTTGCCCAGAGAAGCCCCATCCTTGGGAGTGTTCAAGCCGAGGTTGGACGGGGCTTGGAGCAACCTGGTCCAGTGGAAGGTGCCTCTGCCTGTGGCAGGCAGTGAAACCGGGTGAGCTTTAAGATCTCTTCCAACCAAATCCATTCTGTGATTCCATGATTCTATGACAATATCCTTTCCTCACTGATCTATCCTAGCAGTGATACTGCAGGACTCTCTTTTGACATTTTTCCTGACTTTTGAATGCACAAACCCAGAAGACTCTTAGATGCACATCTGTGGGATGTTTATGCCATCACCCACCACACAGCTTTTGGGAACCTGACCTGCCAGCTTAGTAACCCCACAGATCACTGTTCGCACCGAACTAAAGGTTATTACGAGAAATATTTATTGCAGTGTTGCTATGAAGACCCCATAAATACTCCAGGCAGAAGTCAGATTATTTACAAAACCAGGTTAAACAAACCCAGAATCAGGCTGAAATCTGCCCTGGGCTCTGTGTGCTGTGTCTGATCCGGAGTAGTGGCCCCAAGGAAGGGGAAAGGGGGTGGAAATACAAACTGACCTGATAAGCCTAGAGAACAGAAGGCTCTGAGGAGACCATAGAGCCCCCCTCCAGGGTCTAAAGGAGACCTACAGCAAGGCTGGAGAGGGACTTTTTACAAGGGCAGGAAGTGACAGGACAAGGGGGATAGTAGTTTTATTAGTTTATTAGGAAGAAATTCTTGGCTGTGAGGCTGGTAGAGCCCTGGCACAGGTTGCCCAGGGAACCTGTGGCTGCCCCATCCCTGGAAGTGTCCAAGGCCAGGTTGGACGGGGCTTGGAGCAGCCTGGGCTAGTGGGAGGTGTCCCTGTCCATGGCAGGCGCTTGGAATGGGGTGGCCTTTAAGGCCCCTTCCAACCCAAACCATTCCATGGTTCTGCATCCAAAGACATGGCTGTTTAATGGAGATGGTGCACAGGCTCCTCTGCTGGATGATTTGGAGCCAAACTCACAGGGCACCACAGCAAGTTCCTGGCTTTGCAAAGTCTGATGATATGGCATCTCCATGGAGAACTATGTGGAAACACACCAGTGCTTGTTTTGTACACAAGGAAAGCAATTCTGACCTTTCTAAGCAAATGCTACAGTTGCAGTTTCAGTTTTGACTGAAAAATAGAAACTTCTGAGCCACAAACCATCTTGATGCTTGATTTTCTGCATCCCCAAAACAATAACGAGGCCTTCCTCACAGGGGGCTGGCCTCCTTAAAAATTTGTAATTCAGAACTAGACTACAATCCAAACCCAAGAGGATGGAAAGTTCTGAAACAAAACCTCTTGAAAGTTGAAATTGTCTAGTGCTGAGCCTTCCTGTGTCACAGAGCTTTGAGGTGGCCACCCCTGTGCTGGGGATGTCCATCATCTGGTCTGCTCAAGGCAGAAGGTCCCAGAAGACAAATGCAGGTCACACTGATGGATCTCACCTGTGCTTTGGTTAACAAAATTATATTGACCACCTTTCTCATTTAGATAGAAAAATGCTTCACCAGAAAATTCCCAATCAGCCCTTACCCTAAGCAGGACCCCACAGCTCTGGCAGGTGGGGAGACTCCCCAGGCTCCCCTTAGCAGCACCACAGATCCTCCACACAGGGCTGCAGAGGCCCTGCCTGCAGAAAACCATCTCCAGTCTTGATCTCAACATTCAATTCACACAAGGCATGAAACCAACAACCCAGCAAGCCACAGCCACAGGTCCTGGCAGTCACTGTGCTGAGCCCAGCCCAAGAAGTGGGCAGGAAGGCTCCCAGCCTTGCCAGGCAAAGGCAGGACAGTACAGATCCTCTTTGCCCGATCACGGGACAACGCTGCCCAGTGTCTCTGGCTTCAAACTGCAGAAGAAAGGGCAAACAGCAGGTCTGTCCCAAGGCTCTGTGACAACAAGGAACAGAATGCACAGGCTAGGCCCCTATCTGCTCACACAAACCTCCTACCATGGGTCTTACCATGCCTCTCCCTAGCACAGCCACTCAGAGGTTTTCTCCTCACCCCTTCCCTGAGGAGCAGTTTCCAATGTCTGCCCTTCAGCTGCCACCTGGAAAAGTCCCCCATCACCTACAAACCACTGAAATGTGAGAGGTCCTTACCCTCATGCTGGTGCAGGAACATGAAAAAAAGCCAGGAGGTGCTGGGCACATGACCCTTGTCAAATACCCAGCAGTGACAAAACAAGCCCAAGTGCTTTCAGCAGGACACACTTACCACAAGTTGACGAAGTTGATGAAACTGGGGGAGAACTCCCTTTCCTCTGAGTTGCTCAGCTGTGGTGGGTCTCCTTTCACTACTTGTGTCAACTGGTCAAACACACTGTTCCACTTGGGGTAAGGGAACCGCCCCGTGGCCAGCTCGTACTGCAGGGAGACAGCAACAGCACCAGGCAGGTTTACGTGAGGTAAGTTCAGTCAGGGCAACAGAATGTCTGCAAGGACACTGAACCCCTCAAAAGGAAGGCTGAGATGAGATTCTTCATCCTGTTCCCTGTATGGTTCTAAGAGGAGGGAAGGTTTCACCCAGCAGTAAATGCTGCCTGTGTGAGGAGCACGGCCAGATTTAGCCTGGTCAGGCCATGCCTCCACATCTGCCACTGACTGTACAACAAACCAGTGTAGGAGAGTAAAATCCTCCAAGCATCCTAACAACTACCAGAGAAAATGGATAATGAGAATCATACAATCATAGGATATATTAAGCTGGAGAGGACTCACATGGATCACCAAGTCCAACTCCCTGCTCCTCACAGGACAATGGAAATGAGCATTTTAAAACATCAGTGGGGAAGACAGAAGCTACTAGTCCATAAGTTATTGCTTCTGCTTTCTCTTCCGCTTCACCACCTGGAGAAGGTAAAAGTTTCTCACTGCATCAGTGTGTGCATCTTGCAGTGCTGTGGTTAAGCCAGTGAGGAATCAGAATACCAGAATCCAGGATTAAACAAAGTCTCTGTGCAGCCGAAGTACAGCAGCTGCCAGGGCTGTCAGAGGCTTATTCCCACAGGCTGGGTGTTCTGCCCTGCACCACCACACTCACCATCCCTCCTCAGCTCAGACTTTGAACACAAAATTCATTTACAATCCAACACCTCTTCCCTGCTCACATCTTGCTCTCTGCAAAATACAGCTGCAGCCAAAGGTATCTGCAGGGGTTCAGGAGAACCATCTGCCTGGATGGGATTTAGATTGTTCCTGAGCCAGGAAGTGCCCATTTCAATCACAACATGCAAACATGTTGGGCTGGGCTTGGAGCTGGGCTGGGCTTCCCATGTGTGATACCATCCCACTGCAAAGGGCACCAAGGCTCCCCACCAGGAAAGGGGTCAAATCCCCACTTACCAATGTAATCCCCAAGCTCCAGACATCTGAGCGGACGTCGTAGCCTTGCCTGGAGGCGCTGGGATCTATCCTTTCCGGCTGAAACGGGAAGAAGATTCAGTCAAGCACTGTGCCATGCAGGAAGCAACGAGAAGCATCTGCAAACTTATCAGAAACTCTGAGTCTGTCCCACCAAGGCAGAGACTGGCACAGCTCCAGAGGCAAACTTTTGGCCAGGGCAGACCTTCAACCCCAGCAGAGAAAAGTCTTAAGGAATCGCTTAAAACACTGACTTTATGGAGGTGTAGTGGAAGAGGTGATGGGAAATGGCCATTTATCACAGTCTAATCTTTTGGTTGTTTTCTTTTCCTTTTGCACAAGCACCTTGAATAATGGTGACTGTCTATTTATTTAGTTTTGTCCAACTCTGGGATTTCTTTAACAGGAAGTCTCTGTTTTCACAGCCAAGTTGTTCCCGAGGGATCATAAGGCTTGGAATCAACATCTCATCCACCATCCCGAGGCTTAGCAGCATCTACCGAACTCTTCTCCCCAGCTGGCTGCTGACTGCCGAATCTCAACAGGTAATAAAAACAGTGCATTTTAAGAACAGCTCCTCTTTACAAGGTTTGGTCATCCCTTGAAGGCAACTATGATATTACAAGGTCTTCAGATATCCAAAATATCTTCAATAGAAAACAATATTTAGCCAGACATGGGAGGTTTGCACCTAAAAAGCAAGTTATCCAGAGAGGATAACAGCAAAAAAAAACTCTTTATGCCTTGCATGTTAACTTATGAGAAACATCAGTCTGCCTTCTTTAGTAAAAAATATAATAATTAAAACATCAAAAGAAACAGGGTCTCATTCAGTTTTGGCTACAACAATAATAAAGATACCCAAGTTGCAATAAATTCTAAATTATGAGGTACAGGACTCTGAAAGCCCCGGCTACTTTGTAAGCTACATTTTACTACAATGTCATGGCAGATGCAGCTGAAGAGTGCCATGCAATGAACCAAGTCCTTCAGTGCAACCTCCACACTCCAGTGAGCAGACAACTTACTGTCAACTCACCACATGAGCAGGCACCTCCCAGATCCCATGGGAATGCCTCATGGCATTCCTGACTGCTCTGCCGTGCTGCCAGCAATCCTCTTTGCAGCCCACCACCCACATGTGGCTGCCCCTGCTGTGACTGCTGCCAGACCTCTCCCTTTCCCTCAGCTACCAGCACCTTCTCCAAGGAAACTTGCCCAGGCCATGCACGCCCACAGCCCCAGAGAAGGTTCTGCCAAGCTGCAGTGGTTCTGCAGGTGGCTTCTCCTACAGCCTCCCTGTGTCCACTGCTCTTCAGTACCTGGGATATCACCTTCCCAGGGCCAGTGATATGTTTTGTCATACTCACTTTCAGTTACAGTATCTGCTTTGAACCAGGCTGGCTTCCAAGGCCATACCCAGAACATCCTGCCCATCCCACCCTCCAAGCTCTGCCCTTTGCTGGTTTTTTCTTTGGTTGTGGTTTCCATTCAGCTTAAGCTCATCCATTAGTTATTCCTCTCATGACTTGGATGGATGTTCCAATACTTCTGGTGGGAGGGCAAAATAATAAAATCACTAAAATTCAGTTCTCTTAAAACAACCATCAGCCCTTCATATGCTCGTCTTGTAGCTCAGTCAAAACCTATCATGTCTGCACTGCAGGTACCCCCGTGCTGCTGCCTCCTCACAGCCAACTCCAGCCTTCCCTCAGGAGTCCAGACTTCTCATACTGGGTACAACAGAATGCCAGACAGCTGGGAAGGGATCAAGAGCTAACAGAGCATCCATTGCTTTAAATACAGGGAACAGAAATGCAATGACAACTTCTCTACAACTCTGTGGGAGGATCTGAATGGAAAATGTGCATTCCCAGTCTCTGCTTATTTGAGGGGAGGATGGTTTGATAAGCAGCAAACACTCAGCATGCAGATATATTTAGATGTTTCAGGAGGTCACTGGATATCTCAGTAAGAAGCAAAATATCTCAGGGAGTAGCCCATGGGTGAGCACTGGGTTGTACTCTGGCTCAGGAAGGACAAGAGGAGCTCAGACTTACAAATCAAAGCTGTCCTCTGAGGTAACACACAGAATAACATCACCTCATGGGTACAAAAAAAAGTCAAAATGCTCTCAGCAATGTGTTTCTGTGAACAGCCCAAAAGGTCAAAGAGAAACCAAACAGAAGATGCCAGCGGTAGGGAGCTGGATAGAAGAACATGGCATCAATAATTGACCAGCACTGGACGTGGCCTGGTAGGCACTTCCCTGTCCCGTCACAGGCTGAAAAGCAGCTTCCAGGGACTGTCATCACGAGTGATGCTGTGTCCACCCCGCTCTGTTTCAATGCCACAGGCAGGGTGATGGACCTGCAACCCCCAGCAGCCTTCTTTGCCTATGATCCCACACAGCCCCTCCAGCATTCCTGGAATTCAGGGCCCAGAACAGCCAGGCTCCACCAGCCCAAGGGCTCTCCCAGAACTGCTCTGCTGTGCCTGCAGCCCTGTAACACCCTGGCTTCCCTCGGAGCAGAGCTCTCACCTCCAACCCCTCCTGCCAGGCACCAGGGGCTCCTCCTGCCTTCCTGGCTCCAGCAGCAACAGTGGGTGTGAGACACACGGAGCTATCCCTTCCCTGTCCCTCAGGCACAACACTGTGGCCAGCTGGCCAAGGCAGGGGATTGTCCCACTCCTTCTTGCTCTGCCCCCTCAGGTGAGACCCCACCTGCAGAGCTGCCTCTAGCCCCGGAGTCCCCAGGACAGGAGGGACATGGAGCTGCTGGAGTGAGTCCAGAGAAGGGCAAAAAATGATCCAAGGGCTGGAGCCCCTGTGCTATGGAACACGCTGAGAGAGCTGAGGGTGTTCAGCCTGGAGGACAGAAGGCTCTGGGGAGACCTTACTCTGGCCTTTCAATATATAAAGGGGGCTTATAAGAAAGACAAAAAGACTTGTTACCAGGGCCTGCAGTGACAGGACAAGGGTGATGGTTTTACACTGAAGGAGAGTAGATTCAGGTTAGATTTAAGGAAGAAATTATTTACAATGAAGGTGTTGAGACTCTGGCACAGGTTGCCCAGAGAAGCTGTGGCTGCCTCATCCCTGGAATTGTTCAAGGCCAGGTCAGATTAGGCTTGGAGTAGTCTGGTCTAGTGAGCAGCAGGGCTGGACCAGGTAATCTTTGAAATCCAAACCTATGGGTTCTATGGTTCTGTCAATGCTCCCTGTGCTGCAGGACACTATGAACCACTGTCCCCACCATGTGAAGCACCTCTCTGGGCTCATGGCCACTGCCCATAAGCATTTTGGCAATAGAAGATGGATTCCACAGCTGGCAGGTACCTTACCACCAAGCAAATCAGAGTCACCTTGCAGGAAAACAAGGACCTCCCTGTGACCAAGGACTGTCTCTTTAGTCCCATACCCCATGTGACAGACACTGGTGTGTGGGAATGGCGGCGGGTGGCCCTGCCCTGAGTGCTGCTGGGGACACATCACCATGTCTAGAGGCTGCCACCAGGGACCAGCCAGCACAGGGCCACACCACATTATGGGGATGCTGGCCCTGCCAGTGCTGTGACCCCCCACACCACAGATCCACGGCACAGATCCACAGTAGAGCAGTTCCAAGCTGCAGACGAAGGACTCACTCTCCACATAGCACAGTGAAGGAGGGGACTGCACAGAAAACAACCATTCTGGGCAGGGCCCAACTGCTCAAAGGGACTGGTGGGACAGGTGGCACTGGTGAGACAGAGCTGGTTGTCTCAGGCACCACTGAGGGGCAGCCTTCTACTTCCACTAAGCAGAGCACTGGGGACATGGCCCTAGACCATGGTGGCACAGTTAGAGGGAAAGCAGGATAGACCAAAGTAAATCCCATCTAAATGGGAAGCAGGAAGTAGATGACATGGGAGCAACTAACACCAACTAAGGAAGAGTCACCATGTGAACTCTGGGGACCTGGAGTGAGGGCTGCACAAAAAGCCTGGCTCAGGCCAGGTGTCCTGCAGGAAAGGAAATGGCTGAGGTGAAGACCCACCTCTGGACTGTGCTGATGGGGTGAAGGGGCAGAGTATGGATGCATCAGAGAAGGGTACAGGCTGCCATGGGACTTCTCTCTGGTTCAGTGTTCACCTGGGCACCAGCATTTTGACTGAAAAATGAGCAATGAGCAGCACAGATCCTCACTGCCCTCCAAACCCCAGGTAAGCGAACACACGTGGTTCAGGTTATCCTCCCTCTTCTCCAAGACCCAGCTACACAAACACCTGCAGCTTGGGCTGAGACACAAGGACAGATGCACACAGGACTCCCTGTACTCCTGAGCTGCTTCATGTAGCTAAAGAGTAAAGTTGCATTTCTTAGAAAACCCAATTCTTGAAGCTCAGATCTGGGTTTTCACTGGTTATGTAATCAGGGAATTTTATCCCACATGCACCACAAATTCAAAACTGCCTCCACAGCAATAAAAAGTACACAACAAACTTCTTTTCTACTTAGGTCAATGCATCCCTAAACTAAAAGGAAGTAAAAGGTTACCAGGAGCAAAGAATGACCAGAAAGTGCTGTATTTTTGCAATACAAAAAGCAGAAAAATTCTACATGATACAAACTCTCCCTCTGCTCCAACCCAGGAAGAGAGAGATGTGAAATGGAAGCTGCCAGCCTGCCATGAAGACTAACTTCTCACACTGAAACATGTGTAAAATGAAGTCCAGGGTGCTGCAGGAGCAATGGGAACCATCCTTTGGACCATCAATAACTGGTTTGGGAAGTTCTTCTGTTCAGTAAGGAGAACATTGTCACTCACTTTTCACATTGCTGTATTTCTCGAGAATATTCGTACAGCGAAAAGCAAGTTGTTCTTCCTTCAGGGCTGTCCCCCCACATCTCCCCTCACCTCCTCACTGAGACCTCAAAATGTTTTTACTCCTGTGAGCCCCCTCCCTGACTGCCCTGCTGGGCTGGGCTGGCAGTTCAGACTCTGCAAGGCTGAATAAGAGCCTGAGCGCTCACCTCGCCAGGAGATGCTCACACCAGCCCTCCATCTCCCAGAAGA